CAAGAAAAGAATCTATTAGAATAGAACCTATGGTTACATCTAGCTATTTCAACAGTAAAACAATGAGACCTGTTTCCCCAATCTAGTACCATGCTTAAATTCATACAGTCGTGGTATTACAGAGGAAAGCTCATTAGAACAATCACCATGAAAATATTTAGTGAAAACACAGAGAGAACCAATGTCACTAAAGTCAAGATGTCAGGATTGATAACATTACAGATCCTTCTTCGGATTTGGTTCATATACGTACATTCTGAAAACTTTACTAGTGTCAGTTGGTTAATACCAAATTTATAGTGAAACACTGACTTGCATAATAAAGTCTGACAGTACAGAGGAAAGGAAAACTGAAGACGAAATGAAAATAAAAAAAAAATTATTTAACAGATGTCTTATTTAGTGGCATGTAAACTAGAAAAGGCAAGTGATGTGCAGTGATTAGAGCAAAAGAGACAGAGAACCAAGTTTAAGAGAAAACTATCAGCTAAACACAGGCAATAAAACAGGCTAAAATAGAATCTAGCTGACAACATGCGATCCTTACATCAAGAGGATATTTTTAAGCACTAAGGTGACAACTAAATGAATAAATAAACAGTGCATAACTTAAAAAAAAAAAAAAAAAGACAAGACATTTTGGGACAATAACTAATCCACTGATGTTGGTCACATACACAGCGTCTCGGAAAACGCCGGTGTGATGGAGGTGCTACCCGTATCCAGACGTTCTAGGGCATAACCTTGAATAGAAGTTTCTTTCTTGAGATGCCGCTCTCGCATGTGCTGTCGTAGGGTAAGTAAGAACACCAATGTGTATAAAGTCTGAAATATAACCATAGAAAATATTTTATTAAAAGAGAAAAAAAAAAAAAAAAAAAAAAAAACATATCAATCTATGAATAAACCTTTTCTGTCACAAATCAATTTATTATGGTTTACTTAAATCTATTAAAGCTGGTGGGCTCAAAAACTTGGTAATCATGCTTAGAAAACTCTTTTTAGAGATTAAATGAAGAAAGTTATTTTCATTTTATTAGATGAGGCATTACGTATTATTAGTAATTTTGCCAGTATTTATTTTTATCCTAATTTTTTAAGATTTTTTCCCCCCATCTTTACTTAGGTTAGCAATCAACAGTAGTGAGTAGACAGTGTGAATCAGAAAAACAATAACCTGTGAGATTTGAATTGACATCCCTCATGGAAGACCTGATAAATACCCACCTTCTTTAAGCCATTAAGCTCTCATAGCTTAGCAGTTAAAGCAATTGGTGTATTAAACCAGGCTTCCCTGTTGCAAAAGAAATGCAAGTTCAATTCTCACTGATTGATTGCTTTGTTTTTTATGGTTTATCAACTCTTTGTAGGTTACTGAAATGAAACTTTTTTTTTTTATGATCAGAGATGTACTTAAGTAGAGTTACACAATGGGAGATAATTAAATGGATTTTTTATTAGCACACACATCATTCAATAATCGTTGAGTAACAACCAGTACCCTCACCCCCACTACTCCATACATCCAATATTACTTTGTCCTCTATTGGAATAATTCACAGATCTAAGTGTCATGTTCAATTTTAACACTCAGATCTGTGGATTTTTCAATAAAGAAAAAATAATTCTAGACAGTACATAAGGATTAACAAATGAAACATGAACCTGAGGAAGACAAAAATACAAGCCTGAATAATTCATTGATTAAAATTATAGTCAACCTTTGCTCATTTAAACAATTTATACAAGACCATGTAGAAAAACAAATGCTCATGAACATTTAAAGTTATATCAAGCCTCTGTAACAATGGATATTTACAATGTTTAATAAAGTCAATGACAAGGTTATAAAAATTTTGCATTAGCAACAGCTTGTGAGACTAGAACCTAACACATGATCAGAAAAGTGGTCATGTACAATTTAAATTTACTGAAATCTAAATAGATTTAACATACTGGAGATTTCATGATTATGTTTTAAAACCATCATAAGGCAACTTGATGGACTACATTGAATATGCTCAGCATTCGTAGGCACAGATCCCCCACTCCTCTCTGTTGCTCATGATAGTCTTCAGTTATTCAATGTGGCACTCACTATCCTCTAGAAGTTATTTGACAAAAGTTTTTGCTAGTTGACATCTACTTTTCCTACAAGTTTGGTTCCCACAATAAGTTCTTTATGTTGTCAGCCCAGTCTGACAAATCTTAATCTATGATTCTATATGGTTTCAGAGATGGGAAGGATTTTGTCAAAGTTCCTGTGTTGACCATACAAGATGCTAAGGACAGCATGGAGCATTCTAGTGTAAGCATCATTTAGCATTTTTTCCATTATGTTGAAATGATTGAACTATAAAGAATGGATTCTACAGCAACACAGAAGCCAACTTTAATCAATTGGTACTACACTCCTGAATACCTGCAATCTCCAAATCAGTTCTTGTTGCCAGATGTAGTTTATCATACCTAGGACTATCCCCACTTAGAAGTAGGATGTCATCTGTACTCAGTTTTAAAAGTTTTTAAGATAAAGATTGACAGATTGTCATAGAACAATGGTGAGTCAGTTTCCCAAGATATTGTTACCGAGTTTCATTTTCATAGTAATCTTTTAATCAGGTTTTGTATCCTAAGTTAAATAGTCAATCTATAGATTAAGAGTTATTAACATTCAAGAGAGGATTTTGTTTTTTAAATGCTGATAAATGAACAAACAATGAAAGTTATGCTCTATCACTAAAGAAAGTTAGGAAAAAATTGTTGGTTCCCTCTACTGATCCAGTAAGTACGGGATTCATTTGCTATCCTCTACTTTTGCAAGTGACAGATCTGACCAAAAATAGCATACTGCTGCTATATCTTGGCTGGAGTCTTCATTTTCCAGTCTTGACAGAATTCAAGGCCGCTACAATCTTAACCTGGTCAAGTCGAAGATTATTTTTCCCACATATCCTCATAAACTGCATCATGTACCATTCACACAACAACCTCCTTCTTTGAGTCTTTCTTGGACCCTGTAGAGTGTGAATATTAGTAAAACAAAAATAAAAAAAAAACTATCATCCCCAGTAAACCTAGCAACAGAATGATATACACTTGTCCCTATACTATCCCAAGCAGTAAATGATTAATTGATTTGTTTTCTATGATCTATCAAACTATTGCTGGTTATTTACATCCAGAAAATATTTAGACTTTAGGAATTTTTTTTTTTTTTGAGATAGTTATTTAGTAATACAAATTTTACTAATTAACCCAAAAGAGGGGAAGAGAAGAGGTTGATACATTCATTTCTCAAGGGTATTTGCACATAAGTTAATATAACAAATCCAACTGAAACTGGAATCAATGCTTTAATCCACTACAACAATTTTTAATTGTGTAAGCCAAATTGCTGTAGTGAACTTAGCGCCTTATACCTAACCTGCCTGCTGATTAAAATCGAAACTGCTGCTGCTGCTGACTGTCATGTTTGACTGCTGCTGCAATAACAACAAAGATGAGGACGATAATCTGAATAAAAAAATAGTGTAAATAATGAAAGGTTTCTGGCATCGTATTTGTATTGCTAATCAAGCTGAATAGCATCAACACCCTCTCTGGTTATATTCATTATAATGTTTGCACCTGAAAAAGGTTGAAAAGTGTGCTCTCCAATTAAAAATTCCAAGCCATTATCCATTACACCACCTGCACATCCAAGATGGGACACCAAGGCGGGCACCCATCTAGGTACTAACCAGACATGACGATGTTCAACTTTGGTGATCATAGGAGAATCGGTGTTTCAAAGTGATATGGACATAAGCCCCCAAGGAATAAATGGAGAGTAACAAGAGCAACTTACCTGTAGAGCCAGGCTTCTACAAGGTATATCGAATTTGATAAGACCTATTTCAGACATCTTCACACCATGTAATTCTGTTGGCAGTTCATCTTCATTAAGCTTCAAACCATATATGTACTGAATGATGAGCAAGACTTCAGCATAAAAGACAATTACAGGTGAGACAAGAAGGCAGGCTCGCCGGGATTTCGGGATCATCCAAATGATGCAAGCGCCGAGCAGTAGTACAAATGTGAGCCAACTGTGAAACGTGATACTCCAGGCCTACAAAAAGAGAAATTTGTTTTAACAATACAACAGGTAAGCTAACAAAGGTTAAAACGGCTGTTAGCTTTAAACAGTTTGGCCTTTTTCAAAAAACGTGTTTAAGAAAATTTATTAAAATATTGAGAAATTTGCTTTATTTTATAACTGCTTTGAATCTGATTAATGAGTGAAATTAAAGTAAAAAAATAATGCAAATATTTTACTCAATTTTCAAATACCAAAAATATTACAATTATGATGTGCTTTAATTTCAGTAAAGTCTATAGGTACTTCCAAAAACAAAAAAAAAAAAAAAAAAAAAAAAAAAAAATATTTATAATATAGATTTTGAAAAATTAAAAATCTTTCTTGACGCTCTTATTTTAGTATTAATTTCAAGCTAATAAATTAAATTTAATATTTCCAATAAACAAAATACTTTGCTGTATTTCAAAAACTAATTTAAATTGACTGAAAGGAGGTTTTTTCTTAGTTAAGATAGCTGATTAGCACCCGCCCCCTTTTTTCCAGTTGGCTTCCATCACAATGTAATTGCCTTTATTAAAAAATCTTCCAAAAATAAAATATACTTTTCGAAAACATTATTTGATGAATATTAGCTGATTTAAAGTATACTTAATCTGATTTGAAACAAATATTATTTACATTAAAATAATGCAGAAATGCATTTTTAAACCAAACATTAGCTGTGTTTTTAACTGACAATATTCATGTTTACATGTTTGATGAGTGATAACAAGGTGATAACAGGTTTATTATTGTTCTACGGAGACTTTATTTGTTAAAACATAATTTAAGAAAATGACACAAGCACCTTTTTTTTATATAATTTAATCTTAAAAGTTTTGGAAAATATTCTCCGTAATCTAATTTTAGGAATGTTGACTTTAAATTTACTATAGTCATCACTCTTGTTTTCTGGTAATGTTGTGTATGGTTGCCTATATTTTCAAAAATGGGCATGTTTATATACATAAAAAAAAATTCAAAATTCTTTTAAAAATCTTGATGTTTGATGACTGGTATTAAGCTTTACCATTTCTGATTAGTGAATATACTTTTCACTTAATGATATAATCTAAATTGCTGAAAATAATACAGAATTTTAAAAGATTTAAAAATAAATAAATTTACTGTGGTAAGCTATAATTAGCTAGAAGTATTCACTACTATTTCTTTAGTAGTTTAGTCTTCACTATCAAGGACTACTTTATCCACCAGCTGCATTGACTTATTTATATAGCAGAGATTTACATTTGAATACATTTATCCCTTCTTTTTTAAATTTTACCCTTTTAGATGATATTATTATTAAGTAAAATCTATATTTACTAATTATAAATGGAAAAGCTTAGTACAAATCATCAAACACTAATATTTTTAAAAGAATTTTGAATTTTTGTATGTGCATAAAAATGCTAATTTTTGTAGATATGGTTGTTCATACTTGACATTATCAGAAAAAAGAGCGATAACTATAGTAAATTTAAAGCCAGAAAGTATCTAAAATTCAATAAAACATTACAGAGAATATTTTCTTAAATTTTTAAGATTACTGAGTATTTAAAAACTAGTAGTAGAGCCCGGTGTTGCCCGGGGATGTAACAGTAAGAAATAGATCAAGTATCGACCATCATAAAGACTGAAAAATAAAATTGACAAAGATTATTGTTTAAGGTTGATGGACACGCATGTCTTAATTAGTTTTATTTATTTATTTATTTATTTTACGAATTGGTCAAACCCAAACTCAAACAAAAACATTGTTTTCAATTGTTATGAGTCTACCGATTGAATAGAATTTTATTATAAACAATTGTCTTGTAAATGGAATTTTTAAAGCATTCTTAATGTAAAAATAAAGAAAAAAGTGTGCAAGGCAATAAGAAACACTACCTGCCAAAAAAAAGTGAAGTTTTGTTGAAATCGGTTGAAAAATGTAGGAAATCCGATCCCATATATAAACGAATACACATACACACAAACAACCAACATGGGTTTTATAATAAGTATAACTCGATAACTCGATATTAATAAGTATAACTCGATATGAGTTGTCCCCCTTTCATTCTCGCAATGCCTCTTAATCATGTTTTCAAATTGATTTTGTGCAAAAACAATTGTGTTTTTCCAATTTCGGGCGCTGTCAGAACCACTACGAAGTAATTTTACATAGTCCTGTGAAGTTTTGCTGAAATCGGTTGAAAAATGTAGAAAATCCGATCCAATATATAAACGTACAGACACACACAACCTGGGTTTTATAATAAGTAAGATTATATATAAAAGGTGCTCACATTATATTCAATTTTTTTTTTTTTTACAGCTGACCTCCCCCCTAAAAACCATTAGATAAACATCAATCTGTCATCAGATTGTCAAAACATGTCAACAGCTACTGCTAGGTTAAAAAAATGCATTTCTGTGTAATTTTAAACTTAAAGTAAATAATATCTGTTTCAAATCAGATTAATTATCCTTTAAATTAGATAATATACCTCAAATAAAATTTCAGAAAAGTATATTTTATTTTTGGAAGATTTTTTAATAAAGAGAATTACATTGTGATGAAAGACAACTAAAAATGAGTGCTAATCAGCTATTTTACTATCTTGCATGTTGGAAATATTACATTTAATCTATTGAAATTAAAACTAGAATAAAAACTTCAAGATTTTTTTTTTTTAAATTCATTTTAAACCGTAAAGCGACTGTGCCCACAACTTTAAATGGCCCCAAAGTCACATCTTCCTCAACTGATAAGGCAAACCTCTTTACCTCCATTTTTGTTTCTGACTCAATATTAGATGACAAAGACTATCTTCTCCCCAAGTTCCCATGTTTCACTGAGCACAATATAATATTGAATAATATTACCATCACAGCGCGTGAAAATTTCAGTGGTTGTCCTTCAGAACATCAACCCGGAATTACCCCCAATCCTAGCAAAGTTATTCAACCGCTGCTTGAAGGAGAAATCCTTCCCAAGCCTGTGGAAAGTGTCAAGCATATGCCTCATTTTCAAGAATGTGGGCATGTGATATTCCCCATTTCTGTAGAGCTATTAGTCTCCTCAGTATCATCATCAAGCTTTTTGAGGACATAATCAATAAGAAGGTCATCGAGCATCTAGAAAAGAACAAACTCTTCAACGACAAGCAGTATGAGATTTGGTTAGCCTAATCAACTGCCAACATCCTAACTACCATCACTCACAGAATCAGTGATGCTCTTGACAACAAACTCACCTCGAGGACCATAGCACTAGATATCTCAAAGGCCTTTGACAAGGTGTGGCATAAAGGCTTACTACACAAGCTCTCCAGTTATGGTCCCTGAAGGTAGTTATCAATGGCCAGTCCTCTGGAGCCCTAAAGGTCAACACAGGCATCCCCCAGGAGTCACTCCTCAGACCAACCCTCTTTTTGATCTACATAAATGAGCTGCCTAAGAATATACTCAGATCATTTGTAAACATCTATGCTGATGATATGACTATATACATGCACACCTCTAAAACTCTCAATGGTCAAAGATTGACAATTGAACTCACTTCCAATCTTGCACAAACTACCCAATGGGGTAAAAACTGGCTGATTAGATTCAATGCTTCAAAGACCAAGCTAGTTATATTCCATCATCACCAATTTGACCATAAACTACCACCAATTTGAATGAACAAAAGTCCTCTAGGGAAAGCACCATGAGTACTGTTGCCATATTTGGGCAGGACTGCACAGACCTCAATCTCCAGCCTTGATAGAGTTCAAAAGAATTGTAGGTGACAAGCTATTCTCCACCCTTCAACTGCTCTCCCACAGGCAGGATGTGGCAAGACTCACTGCTCTACCACTACTTCCAAAGAAAGTGCTACATTCCCTGATCCCACCAACACAAATCTTCACTGTAAGAACACGCTATGCTACTTACATAGTAGTGAACCACCCATATTCCCTCCATATTCCATCAGTGAGAAGTAAGTTCCACTAAAGCAGCTTCTTCCTGCAAACTACCGTCCTGTGGAACCGACTCATAAAAAGATATTTCCCTGATCACTGCAATCTTAACCTGTTTAAGGCTAGGGTTAACCGTTATCTTCCACTCTTGTACACAAAAATGGCTTCCAAACGTAACCATCTACCTCAAGTGTCCCCCAGGCCTGGTAAAAAAATGAACCTCGCTGTAGGAGGGGGGGAGCACATCCGTAGGTATTGAATTTTCAGTGGATACCTACTTTAAAAATGCTTTATTATTAATTTTCCAAAATGAGATCTAAAGAACTACTTCTGATTTAAAATTGATTTAAATGAGAAGAGAATACAAGTTCTTGTTGTTTTAACATTTTCACTGAAATCTTTCCAATATCTTTCAGACGCTAAATGAAACTTACATGTCTCCTTACCTAATTTATACATTCATTGCAGAAAGAAGCAGATAAAATGACTATATTCAAATTCACATTTATAGCAGGTTCAAATCTTTGTTAGATTAATATTAAAATGAAATAACAAAATTATCAAAGTATTCAAGTGTCAAATAATTTTCAGTTCATTGTTATTCGATGTTTTTCATAAAAGCAAGAACTGAATTAAGATAATACAGAATTACTTCCCTTACACACCTCAATACAATACATTGGATTTCATTTTTTTTGTAGGTACCTTCAAAAATTAGATAAAAAAGAGGCTATATATGAAAAAAAAAAAAAGTAAAAAAAATGTTTGAAAATAATTTTTTTTTGTCAAAATCTTTATTATTATGAGAAGAAAAAAATTAAAGAATTTTTTGCTAGAATTTTTTTGTTATTTTATCTATTGTAGAACCTTGTAAATTTTGGTTAAAAAATCTGTTTTCGGCATGAAGACTGGACTTTAATCTTCCCTAGGTTACAACAATATAGCTGCCATATTTGAAAATATATACTTTCCTGAATGTCTCCTGCACCCTACATTATTTAATGTAGTATGTTCAGAGATGCACAGAAAACTATGTGAATTCAAACAAAATATCAACTGTATGGGAAATTTGAGCGATTTTTGGCAGTGAAAATTGATGGATTGATTTGGAAATTGTTACAAAAATCAGTTTAATTATTGGATTTTAAGTAAACTTAGGGCTTATCCAGAAATGAATTAAATTATTTTTTAAACTTCTTTTCAGAAAATCTTTGGAAAAATATTTTTTATTTTGTTTTTTATTTATTTTTTTATTTTTATTTTTTTTTACAGCTTTTGCCCAGAACACATTTAATTTGTTATGAAATTTTGAGTTATTCTTTGCATCAATTGATATTTATATTTTTTTATGAGGACAAGTCGTTGGAGAATTTAAATTATCAAAATTTTATTAATAAGTAGACAGAAAAAGATCCCAACCAATTTAAATTCCGTGTCATGTTTTATTTATTGAGAATATTAAATTTAACCTACTAGCTTGGAATTAAAATTAAAATTTCAAGAATAATTTTTCATTTTTTAAAATACATTTTAAATTTAAGTATCACTTTTTTGGGGGTGGTACATAATTTTATGCAATATCACAACATCAACAGGTTAAGAAATGACATTTGCATTTCCTTTTAAATTTAATCAACTGATCATTAATTAAAACAATGAGGTAAATAAAGGATTTCAAAAAATAAGAACTTACCATCATGGCAATGAGAGCGAGGACATAGCTTTGGTTCATAATATAAACAAGAACAGAAGCAAAGGCCGATCTTTTCTCAGTTGTGCGGCTGTGTTTTCGAGATTCTGCAGTTGCTTGCATTTCTTCATCAGAATCTTCTTGGGTTTCAATTTCGCCACCCTTCACACGAATATCACCCGAGGAAATAGGGTCCACACTACTATAGTGCATATTCTCGCCAGTATCCACTAAACCCTGAAGGAAGAAAGAAAAAAGCCAACCCACCCATGAGTGATCAAGAATTTTTATAAATGCCATCATGCCTCAGAGGAAACATAAATAAAAATTTATTTTCCTTTTAAATTAAAACAAAAAAATATATATTTTAAAAAGTAAGTAAAAAAAATCATTTTTATTTTTCGGCCTGTTATATATATTGTAGCATACCTACAGATGATAATGGGTATGTCCCCAGTCACATAAATGCAGTAATAAATACTGCATGTTGGTCTGCAGTTGGAGATCCATTGTGGAATTCATTTGACTCATTTCTAGCAGTTGACTACTTCTTTTACACACTGCTGGCAAATCTTATGTGTTGTTCTTGTCCTAAGTCTTATTGTTCATTACCAACCTTTGTGTGATTATTCTATTCAGTAATCTTCCCTAGGTTACAACAATATAGCTGCCATATTTGAAAATATATATAAAATATATACTTTCCTGAATGTCTCCTGCACCCTACATCATTTAATGTAGTATGTTCAGTGATGCACAGAAAACTATGTGAATTCAAACAAAATATCAACTGTAAATTTATACAACTGAGAAAAATTACTGTGAGAAAGTTTTATACAAAACATTAAATCTGAGAAGAGAATTCAAAATCTAAAAAGCATGAAATTTTTCTATAATTTTACAGAGAAAAGACTGAGCTTGGTATGAAATACAAAAGACCTATTCAAAAATCATGCATATCGGGTTTTTATTAAATACATAATTTTTAAATAAATGTGATTTGCAGGAAATAGGATATTTCTCACCAGTAATATAAGTATCTCAAGCTTTACACTATTTAAACTTAGACTATTTTATTCAGTGACAAAAAATGTCTTAGCTGTTGTGGTGTTTGTAAATAATGGAAACCAGTACAAACAAGATACAAATATTTTCCTTTCAATTGATATTTAATTTTAAATGAAATTAGATATCTATACTGTGTGAGCTGTAAACCACAACATTTTAACAGAGCATTGACTGAGCCAGTTGATATTTAATTAAAAATACTGAGTGAATAGAGGGAGAAAGGGAGCAGGAGGTTGGTTTCACAATTGCAGGGTTTAGTTTGAGAAAAGTGAAAAAGAGGCATCAAATTAAAGAGTAAAACAAATACAGAATTGGTAAGAGAAATATTCCTTAAGGGGGGAATATAGATAACAATAAAATATATGCATTATCACAGAAAGACAAAAAAAAAAAAAAACAGCAACGGTATTTTTACCATCAAACATTGGTGTATTTTCAAAATAAATATTTTTAATTTTTTTCTTAAATTAAAAAACTATAAATGCTTCAAATGATATAATATTCATAATCAAATATAGTAACACTAAATATTAAGAAAATATGAGTTGTTGCTTTTTTATATATATATATATATATATATATATATATATATATATATATATATATATATATATATATATTACTTGATAATTAGTAGGGATAATTCCAAGGATAGGAACCCAAAGAGAGCTCAGTGTAAGAACAAAACAAATAATATTTATTTTTTGTAAAATAATAATATATAATAATATAATTTTGTAAAATATAGTGTAATATTTATTTTTGTAAAATTTTGGTCTGAAGAGATGGGCGTCTGATCCCATGAAAGAAACTATTACCTATGGATTTCTAAGGACTCCGCTTTCATTATTTATATATATATATATATATATATATATATATACACACACACACAAAGAGCAACAGCATAAAAAGATATTTTCACTTTTTCCCTTACCTTTTGAATCATTTTAATAACATGTATAAAATTACAAGAGATTAAAACCATTAATATCAAATGTATTCTTCAAGAGCTCCCATCTTGACCATGCAGTCGGACGTTAAAGACCATTACCAACATTCACGCAAGTACAAACTCTGAAATCTCTTCTGAACTCTTACCAACTTTACAAATCCACAATTCCAAACATACTGAAGTAACTTTATTCTTCTAAACTACAGCTTAATAATTACTTCTTTATGAGCTCAGGTACAAATATTTCCAAATCTAAGAGACATAACTATCACACCTTCAGCTTATATGCTTGTACACCAAACACTAAAAAATTCAATTGTTATGTTTTGAAATCATTACATTCTGTTTTGTATTTTATACTATGTGCTACTTACGTCAAATATAAATTGCATTGTGTCCACACATTGTCCTTAATCCCACTTTTCCTAGCCAAAGTTAAATGTATGTAGTACACACCCTTACATAATACTGACAACCCAGAAACAATATTGGTAACCCCGTTGCTACAGTATTACATGAATATATTCTAACCTAATAGGAAAGTAAAAAAAAAAAAAACTAGTCATCTTGCTTTAAAAGAGAAATTTTTCAAGGTTTCTCCACATGCCAAGAGTCTCTTAGCAAAATTATAGCATTTTGCAACAAAATCTAAAATTTACTTTAATAAAACAGTAAGACTAATCACACAGATACCATGTAGAAAGGAAAATATCAAAAAATGCTTTGATCTATCCCTTTATTTGCAGAGTAAGTGTATTTTATCAAAAACAGATACCCAATATCTGTGTAAACAATTCTGAAATATGGAACCTTCACAGATAAAGAGCTTTAAGGAATACATTCTTATCACCATGCATAGATATACATGAATATAAATTTATCCAAATCTGAAATTTGCTCAAATTTGATAATTTCTACCATCTATATTCAAAGAACTTGATAATGTTTAAAAAAAAAAAAAAAAAAAATGAGTCAGTATCAAAATAGGAAGTCGGCAAATTTAACCCCAGTGCTAAAAAGGAAGACAGAATCACATCCATTAAAACAATATAGAGAGAGTGGGATATTATCTAATAAAACAATGATTAATATGGCAAAAAAAGATTAACATTTACAGGAGTTAGATTTTTATTTTTTTTTACAAATCTTAAAACTTGATATCAAATAAGCTTATAAAACTTTACCAAAAATATCAAAAAGATCAGTCTTAATTGGAAAAAAAGCCAGACCAATTATTAATGTTTTACTATAAGCATGAGATTATTGGTTTAATAATATAGAATAAGCAGTTAATGCAAAACTAACTGATACGAAATCAAGACAAATAAATGTAGGACTTTATATTAGTCATCATAAAACAGAAACATCTCCCAACCACCAAGAAGTACTCTGAAATGACGAAAGAGAGAATGAAAAGAGTTGGAAGATGAAATCTCCAGATAATCCCAACAATTATTTATTGGAAGTAATTAATGATTTTTTTTTTATTATTAAGGTGTGCTAGTTTATAAAAAATTTAAAAAAAATAAAAGTATTTCAAACTCTGACATGAACATTTCAACTAACTCTGCCAGATTTAAAAAAAAAAAAAGAAATGGGTGGAGAGAGACCAACATGCAGAGCATTTTTCATAGATCACAGAAAGGAGTAAATCATATTATCTAATAAGATAGCTTAAATCATTTAAACATAACCATTTTCCTTGCAGTTTTAAACAATGATATTTCATATAATTTTTTTTTTTTTTTTTTTGAAGAGCTTATTTCATATAATTTCCATTTAAATTTCTCCAATATCAAATGGACAATATAATAAATATGTAAATTTAGAAGATATGAGAAAGATTAGCATTATCAAAAAGGCTTAAACACCAACATTAAAAAAACTAAAAGGGAGAGGAGAAGAAACAGTGAAAGGGGGAGAGGGAAAGAGAAATGACCTACCTTGAATAACAGCATTTAGCTAATTTCATTAAGAACTTGAAATTTTGGTTTCAATATTTGAAGTCAGAATTGACAAATGCTCATAGGCTATATAATACTAAAATCGTTTACATATAATTTAAGGCAAAAGATTTCAGCCATTTTTTTTTTGTGTGTGTGGGGGGGGAATACTTATAAATTCATAGCATCATATATTCAAGATATTTTCCCAAGCTTTCTTTAACTATTTTTCAACTACTGTATATACTCTAGCATAGTAGAAGGTTTTATGATCAGTTTTTATGAAAAAAAAATAAATAAATAAGGGTCACACTATACACAGGTAAAATTTTTTTTTTTTTTTTGAAGAGCTTAAAAATCATGCATTTTCCAGGGAGGAAAGGGAGACAGTTGCACTATACACAGGTAAATTTTTTTCTGGAAGGATTAAAATTAATGTATAAAAATTCAGGGATCACACTATGCATGAAGTCAGCTTATACAAGAGTTTATACATTAAATACTTTTTACCTACATGAAAACAATACCAGTTTTGATTTGATGAATTAAAAGAATTTTCAAGTATCAAACTTGTTGGAAATATTGACCAGTGTTACATGGAGAGAAACAAGTGTTAGTCTGAAGAATATGCCATGTGCAAAAGAACTTCCAATCCCAAAATTACAATTGCTGCATCATATTTAGTTGTATCAACTTTGTTGTGGAAAATTAAGCAGTCAAAAAAAAAAAAAAAAAAGTCAATTCAGTAATAATTTGTTCAGAATTTCCTTTAAATCTGACCAAACACAGAACTCTTCCTTCTCGGTGGAGTGTTACAGTTAAGATGTTGAAAGTTGTCCTGGATCTTCTTCATTTTGAATTCTTGTAATAAATCCATTGATCATTTCAAGTGATGACATTATTATTTTTTTTTTTTAAATTATTTCACCCATAGCAAGGCAATAAAGCCACATAAGACTCAAGGGGTTACTGAGTGTGAGAGAATATCAGAAAAAAAAAATCATTAAGGAGAGAGAACAATAAAAGAATATGAATTAAGAAGACAGAAGATAACAATCCACATTGCATCTAAATTTTTGAAGATCAAAGCTAACCAGAAAGCAAAAATCTAGTAAAGTGCTATAGAAAAAACTGTTAGTTTAGAACTTATGGTTACATCTAGTCATTTCAAGTGTAAATGATGAGACTTTGCTGCCAATCCAGTACTGCATTTAAGTTCATAAAGTCTCCATACCATAGAGGAAACTTCATCAGAATAATTACCATGTTAC